AAAGGAAGGAAAGGAAGGAAAGGAAGGAAAGGAAGGAAAGGAAGGAAGGATCCTATGGATTGCCAAGGAAGCCTCTGCAGTTAGTGAAGGAAGGATACTATTGCAATTTATCAAATTAAGATTTATACATTGTTTCCTACATATAGAAATTATAGGTGCGTTCCAAACTCATGCAACAACGCGATACTGTCAAAATCGAACTGAATATTGCGCTAGCCGTGTTTGATTGCTCTTTAGACTATACCACGTAACGTGCAACATGTTGAGTTGCTCTCCTAAAAATACCCACCGTTGGCGTGGAAAGGTTCTTGATGCCCACACCCACAAAGAGCTTTTGCTTTCTTTTTTCTACCCAATAAAGCGAGCTAAAAGGCAGCCTGGCCAACGAATCAGGCCCCTGTAGCATTGTACCAGGTTTTTCATGGAGGCCATCGCTAGAAACAAAGAAGAAAGAAAAGAAAGAAAGGTCAGTCGAGCCCATTCTTTGCCTAGGAGCAAGGACGCTACTAGGGGCTCCTGGCCTTACTACTAGGAACAAGAAGCTACTAGGGGCTCCTGGCATCGCTACTAGGAGCAAGGACGCTACTAGGAGCCCATTCTTTGTTTTGGGCCTAGGTTCTGGCCGATCGCGAAGGCCGCTGAGTGCAGCTTGCCGCTGACAGCTGTGACGCGTGCAGCGCTGCAATGCGTCCTCGAGTTGTGAAAAAGCGCGTGCAACACGTCGCTGCAGCGTGGCTCTGTGACCGGCAGGTGCAGATTGCTTTGTTGTTTCAACTAGCGCTTCCAACCGACTAGAAACATGTGTGTTGCAAAGATTCTTTTTCTCTCCAAGGGGCAGTTGAGGAAGGGGACCGGAGCTTTTTGTGCAAAAAACAGTGAGGCCATCTGCTCTTAGGCTGTCTTAAAGCCCATCAGCCTGTGCCGTGCCAGGATTTCCGAGTTTTGAGCAGCCGTGAGCGCAAGGTCTGGAGCGCAAGTGTTGCAAAGCGAAGGTCGCAACACATGATGCCGGACAAAAAAGGACAGAAAACAATCAAACATAAGGACTTAGCTGCTTGTTTCGTGTCTTCATGTCTTTTCCACTCTTTTTTGGGAATACGTTGGCTAATTGGACAGAAAACAACCTAGCCAAGGAAAGCAAGCAAACCAGCTAGCCTGTGAAGATAAAGGAGTACATAGACTGAAGAGTCAGAGAGAAACACTTTGGCGAGAGCAACCTGAAGAGCGAAGAGCCATCTGATTTGGACTGAGTCTACACATAGGCGGAGTCTTAGACGGACAGTAGAAGGGCCGCTCCAATCTGTCACGGGTCTTAGACGGACCTACCCGTTGACGGACCGGATGGGAAGATGGGAAGTCACCGTTGATTTCTTCGTCTTCGAAGTTGCTCGCCATTTTCTCACGGTGGGTGGTTGCTCGCAGGGTTCGTTGGTGGCTTGTCTTTCGCGCAGCAAGAACGTGTATCTCGTGCACGACTTTTCGTGGCCGATTCCTGGCAGACCCGAAGGAGGCCTTTCGTGCGCCTTTCGTGGCAGGTGTACGGACTTGGTGGTCGGCAGATTTCGTGAACGGCTTCGTTTTCGGGAGAAGTCTCGTGGCATTTGGCAAACGGTTGGCAAGAACGCACTGGCGGCAAAGCGCGCGTGCGGACTTCGTGCCACCGGCACAGCTAGACAGCTTGCTTCGTGAAAGTCAAGGGCTGTGCTCTCGGATCATGTCGTGTACTCCATGTTTTTATCTGTGCTTTCACACATGCGTGCTCTGGTGCTTATGTGTGCTCTCCCATGAATCTGTGTTCTGTGTGTGCTTCTCAGTGTGTGCCGTCACGTGTCTCCTTTCATGTGTGCGCATGTTCAGTTCCTGTTTGGGGAACTCTTGCCAGAATAGATTTTGGACCGGATCTTTCTGATTTTTTTCCTTTCTTTTCTAGGAACAAGAAGCTACTAGTAACAAGGGCATCGCTACGAACGGAGCAAGGAAGCTACTAGTAACAAGAAGCTAGTAGGTTGGAGGCCATCGCTACTAGGAGCAAGAAGCTACTACCTCCCGTGTGATTTCGAGAGCCACGAGCTTCGGCTTGCCAGTCCGGTACACAGGAAGAGTTGCTCTTGGCCGTCAAAAGCCTGGACCTTTGCAATTTTCAGGTGGCGCAGGAGTGACTGTGCCAAACAGCAAAGACAGTGGGAATGGACAACAGAAAATGGCCTCCCCCTAAGAGGGATGGCCTCCACCCTAGTAGTTCCCAACGGAAGATGTTGGAACAAAGAACTGTGTTCTGTGAGGCATTCGGATGCGACAAATGTCAAGAGAACGCGCTCCGAGACAGGCGTGGTGTACGATGCCCACGACGTGGTGGTCTAGTGGTGTCTTCTTCTTCCTAGTAGCTTCTTGCTACAGGTAGCAATGGCCAGGAGCGCCCCGTTCGTAGCGTCCTTGCTCTTAGTAGCCTTGCCCTTTGTTACTAGGATGGCCTCCAACCTAATTGCAATGGCCTCCTCAAGTCTCGAGCCAAAAGCGGCAGGTGCCTCCTCGTGCCCGATCAGTGAAGAGCGAGTCAGACGTGCCAACCGTTGCAGCCCGGAGCAAGAATACGTGTCGGTTCCACGTGGAAAAAGAGTGTAAGATTGATGCAGGCTTTTGCCCACCAAGCGAGCAAGATGCAGTGTGAGAGGAAGATAGAGAATAAAAGAAAAACGCGCTGAAAGATAAAGGGCTAACATATCATAAATGGTCTAAATGGCTCGTTTGATGAATTGTGGAGCTGTCATGCCTCGTTGTAGAAGTTTCAGTGCTTGGGGTGATATTACTATGACAGTTAGCCGGCAGGCTGGGCTGAGCCTTGATCCGGGTGTGCGGGGAGATGCGGCCTAAACGGATGAAATTGGCAGTCCAAATAAGTAGCAAACTGTATTGGACTTCCTTTCTTTTTTCTTTGCTTCTGATAGCGATGGCATTCAACCTAAGAGCGATGGCCTCCAACCTACTGGTGATAGCCTCCAACCCAGAAGCGATGGCCTCCAAATGATTTTTATTGAAGTGTTTTGGGGAGAGTTGATGCGAGCCAGTGTTGGTGATCGAGTGATGTTGGTGATGGTGATGTGACAAGCTGGCGATTTTGTTATTTATGGAAAACGGACGGATGAGCAGATGGATGGATGGAGCGTTTGCTACTCTTTTTCAAGTGAGTAGATGAGGGTCCATGCGGCTCCGTTTTGGAAGTACTACAAGTTGAAGTTTCGGCCTGTCCTGCAACGTATTCCGATTGGAATGATTGGAATGAATAGATTCGATGTTTGTACTGTGCTGGCTTTCGTGCTGGCCTTCTCAGGTTGTTTTGTCTGAACTGCCTCGCGCAGCGAATTAACACACAAATCTCACTGTAGTTGCCCTGTTTTGCACACCCCCGTGGTGTTGTAGGACGTTCTGTTGGGGAACCATCGCTATTACGTTGGAGGCCATTGCTATTAGGTTGGAGGCCATCGCTAGTAGGTTGGAGGCCATTGCTAGTAGAAACAAAGAAAAAAAAAGGACAAAAAGGTCTACTATAACTATAATTAAGTTTCCCCAAGAATCTAGGAACCAAATGATTAGAAGCATGAGCTATCCTGTGTCCTACCCAGCGTCCTGTACCTAGTAGCTTTTAGTAGCTTACTAGAGTGTCTTACTTTAAGTAGGTAACAAGGTTCGCTATTAGAAACAAGTGCCTTACTAGTAGTAACAAATTTGAATTAATTTAGAATTCTTGTTTCTATTAGCTTCTTGTTACTACTAGTAAGGCACTTGTTACTACTTAATTAAGTAGGGAGGGGGGGGAGCGGACTAAAAAGGTCCTAGTAGATTCCTTTGCTAGTAATTACAATTCTAAGTAAATTCTTATTGTTGCTAGTAGTAAGGCACTTGTTACTAGAAGCGATGCACTTGTTCCTAGGAGGGGGGGAAGCGGACTAAGGGTCACATATTGTTTGCTATTAGGTTGGCCATTGTTTTGCTCGCACCTGTGAGGTTGTGAAGAGCCTTGAGGACTGTGCTTCACTTGAAGAATACCCACATGGAACGATGGCCTCCAACCTACTAGCGCCTCCAAATCCAAGAAACTTTCTGTTTGTAAACGAGCCAGATGACCAACGTGCCCCAGGACTGCAGGAACAAATTGAAACAGATGTTGTCTGCCAGACCTGTGGGTGCTAGCCTCAAGGAGCCCTGTTCGTAGCGTTGGGCCAGGCTGAAGTCGAGTTGCACAGTCTTAGTCCAGTTGCAACTGCCCAAGGTGCTGTGGCCCTTGAAGAGGTCGGACTGAGCCGGGTGAAACCGCATAGAGTCATTGCAAAAAAACCACCGAGATCATGTGATTGGATCCCCTTTTAGAATCTTTTAGAACGGGATGCCCTTATTGAAGGTGCACAGTCCCAGCTTTCTTCATTTTCATATCCTGTTAGGTTTGCCCAAATATCTACGAACCAAATCCATCATGCGAGGGGTGCAAGGGGAGCTTCCTTGAAGAAGCCTGAGCTCTTCTACGTCCCAGCTACGAGTAGCGATGGCCTCCACCCTAAGAGCAACATTAAACCTTTTTGTTCTTTTCCTTTTTTGGTTTCTACTGGCAATGGCCTCTAGCGATAGCCTCCAACCTAATAGCGCTGTTTGTTTTCTTCTTATATATGCTACTCAAACTATTGGCTTGTTACGGCCTACCTCGTGTGTGGCGCGTGTCGCGTGTGGTGTCTGAAGGCCGTTTGTTGTTTTGTCGGTTTCTCAAAGTTGAGTCTTTTGGAGGCCGTCGCATTTGTACATGTTTGGATCCGAGTCTTTTTCGCTGAGTTTTCTCCGAGTATACACAAATCTTTTCTCTTCTGTTCTAAAGTTCTCGCATTTTTGGAACACTTTCAGAGAGTGGAAGTGACCATTTGTCACTACTCTTTGTCTACCCAAGTATTTGTGAGACGTGCCTTGAGTACTACTGTTCTTGCTTTGGGTTCTAAGTTGGCTGTGCAAAGGTTAAATTTCCATTTTTATAGACCTAAAGTGGTGTCCTTTTCTTTCCTTCTTTTCCCTTTTTTTCCTTGGACCTCTAGACATTTTCTTTTTCCTTTCACACTTCATTGTCTATTCTTGTCTTTTCCTTCGGACCTTTATACCATGCTTTTACTTATGTCTTTGTTTCTTCAGACCATTTAGACATGCCTTTCTTCCCTTTCGTACCCTTTGAGACGATCCTTCTTTGTTTCATTTTCTTTTTCTCGTTTCTTTGACCTTTCACCAAAGACAAAACTCTGGATCCCTTTAGTCTATTCTCATTCTCGGTTTAAACGGACCATTTGGACGTCCGCACCTTGTGACTTATCTCCACTTCAGGAGAGGGCCCAGACCGATGGATAGGAATTCGGAAGTCCAATCTTTGCCATTTTTTGGTCAGACCGAAAAATGTAACAAGGGCATTACCAGTAGCAAGAAACTACTAGTAGCGATGCCCTTGTTACTAGTAGCTCTTTGCGCGCGCGAAAAAGCTCCTAGGAGCGTCCTTGCTCCAGTTCTAATTCAATTCTATTTGAATTTAAATAGATTTCTAAGTATAATTCTAAATTCTAATTCTTGTTTCTAATAGCTTCTTGTTCCTAGTAATATGACCAGGAGCTACTAGTAGCCCCATACCGTCTCAGGTGGCGCATTTCTGCCACGTTGCCCTGGAGAGTGAGGACGCGGACCTC